TTACCTTTTTTTTCGAATTACCGATCTCAAACAATTTTAGTTATAAGAAGAAAACATATACTTGAATACAGCACTAATAAACAGACACTTATTAAAAATGAATTTTCACTTTCGGCTAAATTCGTCGAATTTACATTTGACGGGTCCAAGTCACCCAAGCCAAACTTTTATTGCATTACAAGTAGTATCAAAATAATAACGAAACAATTGCATCACGGCAATCAATAAACAAAGGTCCCAAGTTTTTTATCCCCTCAATTCAACTCTGCAATATTAACCATACAAAAATAGTTGCCGTCCAAATGAATCACTCATTCTGCTTCTGTTGAGTTTTAAATATTTCTAAAGTACTTAAAATTTATTAAGACATTTTTAAAACATTTATAAAACATTTATAAATTAATTAAAACGTTTTTTGTAATCTGTTTACACAGCATATATACATAATTACTATTTAAAAAATCACACTTGTAGTTTCCACACAATATCATTATTCATATACAAAAGTTTTTCGCAATTAAAGCAAAAGTCATTTGTATACAAAAGTTTTTAATCAATGAAACAGTAATATACAAGCTTAAAATAGATGACTAATTTTATTAATATAAAGTTATTCACATATACTATTTGAAACGTTTCGACTCATACAGTAGTCCTCTTCAATCTTTACAATCATTAAATTATAGAAAACAAATAAATTAAAAACTGTCAGTTAAAAAAGATGCCACATGATATAGAAAGCATGGTGCAATGTTGTCAGAAGGAGTCATAATTCAATAATGTCACAATTGTATCCTCAATGTTAGTAATAATCTTCCTTTTATCCGCTCAGTAACAAAAAAGGGAAGGCGTCACGTATTAAATCAAAATTTAAAAAAAGAATAATAACATCATGATTAGATATAAAATTAAAAATGGTTATGAGATCTTGCGTAAAATATCTAAAACGCTTCAAACCACATGCTATCAATGTGATGATGGTAGAGAATAGATCACAAAAGCTTTAGCAATTAAAGTAGAACAATTAAAATCAAAATGATGATTTTTAATAAACATTTTGGAGTCATTTTAACATCATGATAATTTTTTGTTCTATTTAAATATGTTTTTCAATTTATATAATAGTATATGATAGATTTTAGAAATATTTCTGTTAAAATATTTCATATGATATATTGCAGAATCCTTTCAAAATTATTGCGAGAGATGGAAGGTTGAAACATTTTTGAAAATTTTCCGCAATAATCGGTGCTGTATAGGATCAAAACATAAACAAAATTGTAAACTTATAAATACTAAAGATCCTATCTTCCTATCATCGACAAAATATAATTATAAGGCAGACTTGAATCGTTAGTGACAGATGTAGAGCCGTAAACTACAACAATAGTTTAATTTACATAAATAACACTTGTGAATACTCAATTTATACACTTTTAATTGAATAAGTACTAAGATCTAACATTATATTTTAACATACTGACAATATTAAAACACGATTAATAAAACACGATTAATAAACATGAAATATTGCATAATACCTACAACACTTTGTGGTGAGTAATATTCATCTCAATGGTAAATTATAATTCGTTACATTTATATTAAATTCAATATACAGCGTGTCGATTTTCATTTGGTCAATCAATCAATTGAGAGAGACAATCACACAGCGTTATAAGGCATTAACCGCTGTGCAAGATTTCAGATATAATAACAAATAAACAGATACAAGTAACGCAACTGTACATCAATGCAGAATTAATAGATGCAAATATACACAGTGCGACAAATATGTTCCCGGACAGGGCCTGAAAATCATAATTGAAACAACAATATGCATATTTTTTGGTTTTATTATTCAAAATATTCTCCTCTGGCTTCAATACACTTGTTACAGTGATTCAATAGTGATTCAAATGCATGTTTTAGCTCAGTTTGCGGAATTACCTCTAGCGCCTGTGTAGAAGTGATTGGATAGTCGGAATGTCATCAAAAAAGCGTCTTTTCAATTTTAATTTCAATTTTGGGAATAATGAGAAGTCGCAGGGGGCCAAATCAAGTGAATACGGTGGATGGTTTAACACAAAGACACGATTTCGAGCCAAACATTGATGGACAATCAATGAAGTGTGACTCAGTGCATTATCATGCAACAAAGACCAAT